GGCCAGCGCCGCGGGTGACGGCCCCCAGGAGAGCGTTGGCCACCTTGGTGTCCACCTCCAGCGGCGTGATCCTCGCCGCTATGTCTAGGGAGTGCTGGTCCACCACCGTCTTGAGGCCGTAGTTGGCGGCCACCGTGGCCAGCGTGGCGTTGTTGGCCGAGGCGATGGAGCCGTTCATGGCCGCCGTGGTGCTGTAGTTGGACAGCTTCAGGTCCACGCCGTCCGGGGTGCTCTTAGTGGCCACCACGCCCTCCAGCACGTCGAAGGCCGACTGGTCTGCCTTGTTGGAGAGACCCGTGGTCAGCGAGCTCTGCAGCGCGGCGATGCTGCTTCCGTGCGCGGCCGCCTGTCCGTCCGTGGTGGCCAGGGCCGCCGCCGTTGCCTGCTGTCCAGCTTTGAGGCCAGCTCGGTGGTGACTCTGCCGTCCACTTACCGCTCAATTAGTGGCTTGCCACCATTTACCATTTTGCAGTTGCAGTTTCACATTTGGCTCAAACAAGACACCGCAGCCTATGACAAAAAATGGTTCGTGATGAGATTGCGCCTCAAAGGTTGAGCCAAAACGCTTCGTGAAGTTGAGCCAAAAAAAACTCAGCTTGATCAAAAAAAGGCCTCAGCTTGAGCTCCAAAAACAAGTGCTTCGTGAAGTTGAGCCAAAAAAAGGCTCAGCTTGAGCCAAAAAAATATCAGCTTGAGCCCCAAAAAAAATCCTTCATGTCTGCAGCAGTTTCCCGAGAAGAGGGAATGTTGTTTGAAAACAAACTTATTGCTTTTTCCCCGACAGGCAAGTTGAGCCAAACAAACGCACCTTCCTGACAGATAGGTCGAACCAATTTCTTGATCAGACAAATGCAACCAAAAACGCCTTTTCCTGGCAGACAGGCTGAACCAAGCAGGTGCCTTGACAGCTTTCCCCAAAAGAAATTGAGCCCAACAGTTCCTGAAATCACGTGTGCCGATATAAAGAAGTTCATGAGCCAACATCAAGACATTTATAATTGTAAGGGTTACAAGATATGATCTAAATCACAATTATTCAGTGATATAGAAACTAAATATTGCAAATATTCACAGTGTTTTGCTCAAACATATCAAATATTCAGAGTATGATATAACTCAAACACCTCAAAATTAAGCGCGTAGTTTGAATTCAAATATGTCATGTGCTAGATTAAGATCATTATTGTTAAGTCTGATTCATTTAGGCCATGTTTTCCACATCTGAATTTATCTCAGGTGTAGCGCCGCAGAACCCTATGTGCAAAATGCATGAGCAAACGACAGCCGGAAAATGAGCAAGCGTGCTGATAACATGTTTTTCCTTCAAGTTTAATTCAAGTCCTTGATAAAAGGTTGTTGCGTGATCCTTTCAGCCCGCTCGACACACGTGACTACCGCCACAGCCCAGCATTTCGGGAAATCATCCCACAGCGCAAGGCAATGCTCGCAAGGATACAACGACACAGGAGCGCCGCAACGATGTAGCCTAGGGCAATCTGGGAGGTCGTGATACTTCCCGGCACATGCACGGATCCTGCGTGGCGAAGCCAGAATGCAGCAATCTTGGCAAGGGCTGATTGCGTGCAAGTCTGGTGTAGGGCTCAGCTGCCCCAACCACACACAATGCAGCTGCCCCAACCACACACAACGGGGATGATGATAGTTCATTGAGTTGTGCATGGCCATGACATCCTTGCCGCCGACTATGCAAGAAGACGCAAGCACCTCATCAAGGCCAGGCTGGTCATCTCTCTGAGAGCTTGCCGGGGCCTCCTTGTCAGCATCATTGTTTGCCGGCTTCTTGAAAATCTGGCTGGCTGGTTTCTTGCAAACCTCTTGGCTTGACAACGCCGCTGGCTTCTTAAAGGCCTCCTTGCGTGCTGGCCTCTTCATCATTGATGAACCTGTAAATGCGATGTTCAGGCTTGACGATCTATGGCGTCGAACTTGAGCAAGGAGGGCTTCAAGCCAGATAGTCACCATGTTTCACAAGTGGCTGCAAGAGTCGCAAACATGAACTGCAAGAGTTCGTGAAAGACTGCAAGAGTCTTATTTTTCTACACCCGTCAGGCCCTGTGACTGCAAGAGTCATTCCATATGAACTGCAAGAGTTGCCGGGCGACTGCAACAAACAACTGTGGCTGCAAGAGCCACCCATATGAACTGGAAGAGTTCATCGGTGGCTGCAAGAGCCACCGAGCGACTGCAAGAGTCGTTCAAAGTTGGTGGCTGCAAGAGTCACCTGCGGCTGCAAGAGTCGCCGAGTCACGCAACTCATGGCAGACTGTAAGAGTCTTCTCTCTCCCACTCTCTCTCACATGATCATGGCTGCAAGAGCTATCAACGCGTTGCATGAAACTCATGGAGTGCTGCAAGAGCATGGCTGCAAAGATGTAAACATGTTTTAAACTCTTTCAGTTGTACCCGTTTCGAACTCTTGCTCGCTGCTTGTTTTGAACTCTTGCAGTTCTATGTGTTTCGAACTCTTGCAGTTCTACATGTTTGGAACTCTTGTTTGCAACTCTTGCCGCAGTTCAGGGTTCAGGTCTGGGTGGTCTTCAGTTTGGATGGTCTGGGTCTTCAGTCACACTGGCCGGCCCCGGCCTCAAGGCGAAGCGATCTGCAAGCCTCAGCAGTTCCAACTGCGCGCGTGTGTCTGTGTGTGTGTGTGAGTGTGTGAGTGAGTGAGTTGGGTTGGGCATGCATCACGTGCTCTGCTTCTAACCACGTTCTAAACACGTGTTAAAACCCACCAGCCGCCCAAGTAACCTTTCGGACTGAAAGATTACTTGGGCGGGTTTTACCTTCAGCAACTGCCGCGCGTCTTACCTTCAGCCCGCCGCCTCAGCGCTGTTGTTTGCAAGCCCCAGTCAGTCGTTGGTCAAGCTTAGCTTAGGGCATGGACATTGCAACAATCAGTCAATGGTCAAGCTTAGTGCGTGAAAAGAGAAGCACTTGCTTAGTCTACACTCGTAGTCATGTCGACACCCGTTCCGGCGCCACCTGGATCTGCAAGGCCAGCGGAGCCGGCGACACCTCCATCTGCAAGGCCAGTGGCGGAGCCGGCGACACCTCCATCCGCAAGGCCAGCGGAGCCGGCGACACCTCCATCCGCAAGGCCAGCGGGGCCGGCGATGGCAAGGCCAGCGGAGCCGGCGACACCTCCATCCGCAAGGCCAGTGGAGCCGGCGCCTCCATCCGCAAGGCCAGCAGAGCCGGACTTTGACCCGAAGTCGAAAATGGTGGCCGAGCACTATGCGATCCACCCGTGGTTCACCAAGCAGGTGGGCGAGCCCAAGGATGCGAAGTCGGCGCCGGTGACATGGAATCGGAATTGGAGCCAGGATATGCGCGAGCTTCGGAGCTTCAAAGCCGTTTCCCAGAAACTTGCCGCGAACGAGGCGACGCTGCGCGAGTCGGAAGCAAAGGTTGCAACCTTGCAGGAGCAACTGAAAGAGCTGCGGCATTGCACTCGGACATGGAGGCGCTCCTGAAGACCCAGAAGGAGCGGCACGAGGAGGAGCTTCAAAGAGCACAGAGGGAGAAGACCACAGCCTTGGAGGAGCTGACACGCCAGAAGGACGAGGAGTATGATGAGGTGATGCAGGATCTGCTGTCAGAAAAGGTTCGCAGACAACGTGCCAAGAACAAAGCTCGAGCAGCAAAGGAGCAGGCGGGTCATGCGGGTATTGATCGTCATGCGGGTCATGCGGGATTGAATCTGGTCACTTGGCAGGCGGGCAACATCGCCCAGCAGAAGGCAGAGCTCATGGCGAGGGAAAAGTTGTTGGCGAAGCAGGCCAGTAGTGACAGGGCTGTCTTCCTGTTTTTGGCCAGTTGGTCCTGTCTTTGACAGGCGCAGTTCATAGCTGTCCAGGAGGCCAAACTGAATGTCAAGAGCCAGGCAGGGCTTCCCATCATCAGCCACTCTCAGCTGCCCGCCATCGTCGCCCGACGAGGCGTTGGAGAAGGTGTGCTTCCAGACTGTGAGCTGCCTGTTTGTTGAGGGCTTGATCTCCCGCCAGGCGCTGTCAGTCAAGAGCTTGCCATGTCATGGTCAGTCAAGCGTGTCAGGTCGAAATTGAAAAGCCTCCGCCCACTTCAGATTCGAGGCCCAAGGACTGCAAGACCAAGAGTTCGCTGTGATTTACTTAGCCGAGTCAAGCGCTGGCAGGAAGCTGAGCAACTTCGATCCACCTTGACAAAGACTAAGGACTGCAAGTTTTGTTGCGTTTTTTTGTAACTTGTTAACTGTGTCTGCAGGACGAGCCCACTGATAGTCCTGAAGCCTCGGGTCCACCGGAGGGTGTCAAACAGGAGGCCATTGCAAGTTGTGCTTGGTTGCGTTGATCTGTTGGTTGCATCGCTGCAGGAGGGCGACAGAGACACTGAGCCGCAGGAACGCAGCAAGGACAGCGACTCCAACCTTTTTTGTTGATGGCTTTAACTTTGTTGCTAGTGTCTTGCCAGGAACGGCCCACTGCTGATGACAATATGCCGGATGATGAACACAACAGCCGGAAGAGGCTGGAGCCAGACACTGCGCGCTGCGCTTGTTCTGAGTCTGACAACGCTGCAGGAAACGCCGCGACTGAGGGCACCTGACTGTAGTGCCTGGACAGTGCCGCAATGCGAGAGCTGAACAAAGCTACTGTCGTTCGCACGACTTTGGCAAAACATGTCGGTTGCACTACATTGTCTAGCCATGTGGAGCCTCATTGTTGCCAAAGCAGCCAAGGCCCGTCTCGCTGTTTGCTCGGCGCTCATTTTTGAGATCGTGCTGAGATTCAGTTGGAGCTGTGCAGCGCTGTGCTTGCTGAGGCAAACTTCCAACCCCGCATCTCGGCCATTAGCCAGGCCGGGCGTGTCAGGTTTCGTGTTGCCCGCATCGTTTGCCAGCAAAGCAATCTGTTAAAGCGGCTTGACATTGTCTAAACTCGGGAAGCGCTATGTGCTCAAGATGCCTCTTGCCACTGCTTCAGTAGTTGGCCTGACTCGACATGGGGTGTTGAAAGAGTCAGCAAAGGCCAAATCCACGGAAGCGCCGGCGGAGAAGCCAGGGGAAGATGATCGTGGAAGCTGCGAATCTGATCAGGCGACAGAGGAGATGAACGTGCGGACGCTGCGGAAGCTGTGCAAGGAACACGCCCTACTGGGCTCTCCAGCGGTTGCAGGTGCCATGCCGGCACGTCTTCTCCTGTGATTGCGAGCCTGCAAGCTTGAAGGTGCTCCACTTCTTGCAGCCTGAAATCGTCTACACCGATGTCCGAGCTCGCAATGTCCAAGAAGCTCCGGACGTGGATTTGTTCTGCTTCGGACCTCCGTGCCAGTCCTACTCTAGGCAAGGCAAGAGGCAATTTGATGATTGCGAACTAGGGTGCCTCGGACTACACTCTCTGGCCTACATCATTTACCACAAGCCGCGGCTGATTCTCATGGAGCAGGTGCCAGATGTGGTGTCGTCGGAGTTCATGAAGGTGATGTGCAAGGAGCTGCAGAAAGCTGAGTACACCTTGCACCTGAGCATCTTGAAGTTGTATGAGTATGGAGCGCCACAGGCGCGGGAGCGGGTGTACATGGTTGGCATCCTTCGCCAAGTGGGCGCGTTCTCATTTCCGTCCCCGGTCCCTTGCCCGCCTGTGTCTGACTTCATTGATAGACTGCCAGCGTCTGAGTTCAAAGCTGTGCCTGAAGAAGGGCCCCAGGGTGGTACGACAAGGATTGTCAATGTGCTTTGCGAGTTGGAGAAGTGCTTGGAGAAGGACGTGAACCCCTTCCAAGCCTACGTGTTCATCACAAGTGGCGCCAGCCAGGGACGATGCAACCACATGGTGGGCCGTGTCATGACCCTGACTCGCAGCGAATGCATGAGACAGGGCTATTGGTGCACTGTCAAAGGCGGTTTCCTGAGCCCCGAAGACATGGCCAGGCTACAAGGCTTTTGGGATGGCTTTCTGGACTGGCGAAGCCTGACCATCTCCGATTCCCAGTTTGGCGCCTTACTTGGCAATGCCATGACTTTAAACGTTCTGCTGCACCTGTTTCCACACATGTTGCGGGCAGCCGGGCTCATGACTGCAGGTGAGTTTGATGAAGCCTTGCAGCGGGCTCGGAAGCATCACCCAAGGATGTAAATAATTCGAATGCGGGCTCCCGCCCAGCTCGTGGAAAGTTGAGCGCGCCGTTGGCCCTGCAAGTCTTCTGTCACTGATTTAGAGCACGAGCGGGCAGCTCGCATTGCGCTGCGGCTAGGCGTCGTTCTTCAACGTGGGGGACAAAGTCGCCATCTCAGAAGAGCAGCTGCCAGTGCATCAGTCAGGAACTGCAAGAGTTCGCATTCAAAGTAGCACCATGCATTGTTTTCTGGACTTGCTGCCGCGTCAGTCCAGATTGCGCCGCGGTGAGAGGCATTTCATAGAACGGACACAGCAAGACTAGCAATCACTGACCACACATCACACTTTCTTGCAACAGTCTTCCATTTGCCATCGCAACTTAAACTTGTTGTTGTCGTGCTCGACGCATTTGCCATCATGGGAGAGCATTCGTGTACGAGCCGTTGCCCCTGCAAGCGGTTTTACAAGATGGACCACTCGCAAATTCCAATCGTGACAGCCGAGCTGATCAAGATGTGTCCTCCAAGCTTGTTGGAGAACGTGAGAGCGCTTGACAGGGAGTCGTGGTTGACCGCTCAAGACCAAAGCGGCGAGCCTTTTTCTGTCGGGTGCGCGATTTGCATGGAGCTTCTTATCCCTCGTGATCAAGATGTGTTTGCTCGATTTGAGGTGCGCACAGTTGAGGCGCTGAAGCCTTACAGAATCAAGGCTCATGTGAACAGCCAGGCCCACCAAGCGGCTGTGTTGAGGATGCTGAGCCATGAGCCAGGTGAACCAGTTGAAGTTGGCGACCAGCTGGCTGCGCCAGCGGCAGAGGTTTTCAGCAGCCTCTTGGCTTGGATTCGCAAAGGAGGTTGCCTTCGAGACGGCGTGCCAAATGTCGGCCATTTCAAGAAGGCAAAGATGCTGTCGTGGACGCTGGCTGAAGCTCTACGCCGGACATACCGGACATGGCTGGCTGCCAGCAACACAGTGGCGCTACTGAGAGACGAGCGTCACAGCCGTTTGCTTGTGAGATTCAGATGCGCCAACTCGAGTCTTGACTGGGCAATTACTCAAACACTTTTCGTTGGTTGATGACCGTCGCGCAGGCTTTTTTGTTTCCAGGCCATGCTTTTTGCACTGCACACGCATTTGCAACTCGTTGTCGTGACGCGCCAGGCAAGCCAGACGCTTTGTTGGAGTTCTCGCGCAAGGCAAGCTCGTCAAAAACACGGCGACCAATGTGACGAATCTCACGAAGCAGTTGCTCAATGAGTTTTGCACCACCAACTTCGGCTGCCCATATTACGCCAAGTCAGGCCACGCCGACATAGCCTCTTTTGACAGTGGACTATTTGATCACATACGGGAGCACATTCACAGTGTGACAGTTGATGCTGCGTCTGATGAGATTGCTGCGTGTACAAACATGCAGCACGCAGACAGTTCCACTGCGGTGGATGGAGCAGCTTTCTGCCCCAACATACTGGCAGTGATCCGAGACAAGGCACATTGTAGCCGACGGATTCTAGCGCGACCGTGGTCGTGTGATCCATAGTTGGATTTGGTGGCGGGCGTGCTTGTTTCTGAGAAGAACTCTCTCTCGCAAATGATTCAATATTCCGATGATTTTCGGGCGTGGTTCTTTGAGTGCTGCAGGGACGCGACCACAAAAGCCACAACTACCGAGTTCAAACACCTGAGAGCTGCAAAACATCGCTATGAGTCGCTGACTGCGCCGTTGACTCGCATCTGCTTGAACTGGGAGGCAGTCATCAGCTTCTTGGTCAAGGTGAGCCTTGAACGCCGCTCTCCAGCTTCTCAGGCAATTCTTGATGCACTGGATGCAGAAATGATGCTGCAGGCGGGTCTTCTGGCCGACGCAACGGACGAAGCGCAAATCCTCATTCGCTTCTTCGACACCGGTGACCCGGATTCGGGCAAGATCTCCGCCAGTGTGGCCACGTTTCTTCAGCGCCTGCACTACTTGTTCGACGAGTGGCTTGTTCCGATTAATATTGCGTGTGTGTGTGTGTAAGTGTGTGTGTGTGTGTGTGCGTGAGTAGGTGCGTGCGTGCGTGTGTGCGTGTGTGCGTGCGTGCGTGCGTGTGTGTGTGTGTACGTTTGATTTCCACTCATGATCGAGATTCCTTGCGCCTTGAGGCAAAACGTGTGGACATCCGCTGGGTACACGCTGGCCACATTGAGGTTTCTGGAGGCACCAACTCATATTGTGGTGAGAGGAGAAGTTCGATGCATTGGTGGGCCCAACGCCGTTCCCGCCCAGCTGCGCTCCCGTTGCCTGTCGCGGATGCTGGCATGGCGGGCGCTGGCTGAGCAGGTTGTGCGGGCCGAGCATCCTAGCTTCGAGCTGGTCCAGTGCTTCAGCGCATTTGACATGGAGTGCTTTGAGCAGCAGGCAGCATCGATGACCGCGAGCAACCTTCAGTGCTCAGAAGCGTTGCGGCGAGTTGCGTCGTCCCTGCAGTTGGACTTGGAGGAGCTCATTTCAGAGTACCTTGACTTGGGTTCCATTGCCCTGGCTTTCTGGAGGAACCAGAATCGAGAGCGCAGTAACTTGCAATGCTGGCAGCACGCAATCGATTCCACAAGCAGTAGTGCAGCTCGAAGGCGCCACCCTGTTAACTCGCTGGCAGTTGCGCTTGCGCACTACGGGTGCATGACTTCCTCTGACAGTGTGGTGGAGCGTGACTTCTCGCATGTCAAGCATGTCCTGGGCGAGAAGCGCCTTCAATGCGCAATAGAGGCCGAGAATGACATTGTCGTCATTGCGTTGAGCGACCCAGATTTAGACAACGAAGTCATCCGCACCGCTCAGCAGGTTTGGAAGGAAGCCTACGGTGTCTGCAGCAGGGCAAGAACGAAAGTGCGCTTTGACAAAGGCGTTGTCAAAAGCCGTAGCAGACAAATCGCGGATGGCTTTGATGCTGCCAATGGCGATGACTCAGGCAAGGCGGTGTCAGAAACAATGTTTCGCAAGACAAGACGGCAAGATGTTGCGGCCAAGATGGCTGCGGGGGATGTGGCTGCAGCCAGTGAGGTTGTGCTGGCTGACCCGTCAAGCGCATGGACTGCTGCTCACGATGAAGAGTTACGGTTCAACTGCAAGAAACAGTTGAAGCGAGCCTACGAGTGTTTGGAGTCTGGAACGCTGAACATTTCTGAGCTGCCTGATGAGCTCCGCGGCGAGGCCAGGAAGTATTTGCAATCCAGGCACTCCAATATGTTGGAGCGAGAGCGAGCAGAGCGCCGGCTGGCTAAGCAGACCTTGCAAAGGCTTCCTGACCCGGAGGAGCTTGTAGTTTCGTTTCCAGCAAACTCCTTGATCGTGTTCAATGTATTGGCTTGGCGCTCTTACTTGAGACAGACTAATGTTATCAGGCTGGACAGTCAGCGCCAAGACCGGCAGTGTTGCTAACCCTTGTTCAAGCTTAACCTGTCAACAAGCATGTTACACAGCCTGATTGTGTCAACTCCGAAACAAAGCGCCCACGGGTTGTTGACATCGAACGCGAGGGTCACAGGCATGTTTGTGCGTGTTTGTTGCAGGAGTTGTATGGCCTGGCCGTGCTCGTTGATGATTCATTGAGGACTAGGGCACTGGACGCTGCAATGGACAGGTCACCATGGCAGCCCACGATGCCAAAGTCGTTGTGCTTGACGTCATCAACTCCGCCCTGCCTGTGCACCTTGCCATTGCAGCTGCGCTTGGTGGCGTATGGCTTGTGACACCCGACTTTGTGTGTGCTTACAAACAGGCTGCCATCAAGCTTAAGCCTGCAGCCCGCACCAAGCGCAAGGTCTTCTGCACTCTGAAGTTTCAGACGGAGCACTCCCAAGAGTTTGCTGTGCTCCAAGCATTTCAATCAAACCAGTTTCGGCTGATCAATTCACTTGAAGAATTCGCAGTTGCTAAACAGCAAGCTGAAGATTGCCGGAGCTCTGCATCAGTTCTGGCGTTGCTGCATGAATCCGAGAAGCCAGTGTTTGCAGGCATTAGCCATTGCTGGACTCCTCAGGAATTCAGAGACTTTGTTTTCCAGGTTGATCTGGAGAAGACGTGTCAGGGCAAGTGACACACTGCATGACTCTGCATGGGAAAAATACTGAGTACTTGTGTTCTGTTTTCTGCAAGTGCTTGACAGTCTCTTGCAAGCAGTTGACTGCATGTTCCGCGTTTTTCAAGGCTGAACCTGCGAGACGAGGGTGACTCTCATCAGGCCATCATCGGTTGAAGTTGTCGTGCGCTTATTGAGCCTGTGATGTTTGGAAATGTTGACCTCAAAACTACCGGTTTGCCAAATGATTGCGTTTTGAGTCGGTGCATCGCCTTACTTAGGGGCACTTTGGTCATTGCTGCTGTACCAGGCTTGGATTCCAGTAATCTGCGGCATACGAGAGTATTTTGGTCACTGCTGGCTGCGCCAGACAGATTTTGCTGGCGCCCGGCACGGTGAACGTTACTTGAAAGTACCCTCGGTACGACAAGTTCAAGGCAATAAGGATTTACCAAAGAGGCGCTGCCAAAACTCAAGGTGCTGCTCAGGAGGGGTAGTTTGCCCCCCCCCTTCAGTGACTCACCACGTCAACGCCTGAAGTCACTGACCCCCTGCATCAACAACACCGAGCGGGGCAAAGCTTAATCAAGCGGGTCGCAGCTGGCACGGCGCCCTTCAAGGGAGGGGTCAGCGACTCACTGCGTTGACGTGGTGGTCTGGTCAGGGGGGGGTCACTGACCCCCCCCGGAGCAGCAAGTCATTTTGTTTGTCTGCTAGCCAACTGCGCTCGATTAAGCTTTTGCCACTTTCGGGGGTTAGTGACTCACCCCGTCGACGGGGTGAGTCACTAACCCCCGAAAGTGGCAAAAGCTTAATCGAGCGCTTTAACCTCGCGAACCCCTTGCGTACCACCTGGTGTTTTGACACCGCGCCGTACCGCCGTACCACGCCGTACCGACCCCCTTTTTCACGTACTGCCATACCGCGCTGTACCAACCCCTTTTTTCATGCACCGCCGTACCACGCTGTACCGACCCCCTTTTCACGTACCGCCGTACCACGCCGCACTGACCTCCTTTTTCATGTACCGCCGTACCACGCTGTACCGACCCCCTTTTTCAGGTACCGCCGCGCCACGCTGTACCAACCCCCTTTTTCAACAACTGGGCTGACAAGTGCACACATCAGCAGCGCTAGTTAAACATGTCACACCTGGTTTCAAAAACTAAAGCTCTTGCAGCTCTAGCAATGCCTTGAAGTGCTAAGTACCAAGAGTATTTGGTTTCTGTAGGCTGCGCCAGCCTTGGATTCAGAAGGCTGTTGCGTACCAGGGGTACTTTGGTGACTGTTGGCGCTTGGAACGTACCGGGGGTACATTGGTCACAAAGTACCCTGGTACGCCCCAGCTTTGCCCAAAACCAAAGTAGGTCCTGGTACGGCACAGCCTCCTCGAATCCAGCGACCAAATACCCCCAGCTTCCCAAATCCAAGCCTGGCACAGCCTACAGTGACCAAAGTACCCTTGGTACGCCCCAGCTTTCTGGAATCCAAGCGTGGTACGGTAGCAATGACCAAAGTGCCCCTGTTACGCACGCGCGCATTGCAACCCAGCTTTCTGCAACCCAAGCCTGGTACAGCCAATAGTGGCCTGGTACGCCCACCAAAGAATCCCTGGTACGCCTCAGCTTCCTGGAACCCAAGCCTGGTACACAGGAAGTTGGGGCGTACCAGGGTACTTTGTCACTGCAGGCTGTACCGGCCTGGATTGCAGGAAGTTGGGGCGTACCAGGGTACTTTGTCACTGTAGGCTGTACCGGCCTGGATTGCAGGAAGTTGGGGCGTACCAGGGTACTTTGTCACTGTAGGCTGTACCGGCCTGGATTGCAGGAAGTTGGGGCGTACCAGGGTACTTTGTCACTGTAGGCTGTACCGGCCTGGATTGCAGGAAGTTGGTAGATTCCACAAAGCTGGGGCTGACTTACAGGAAGCTGGGGCGTACCAGGGGTACTTTGCCCACTATTGCTGTACCAGGCTTGGATTCCAGGAAGCTGGGGTGTACCAGACGTACTTTGGTTGGCGTACCAGGGGTACTTTGGCCACTACCAGCCTTAAATTTCAGGAAGCTGGGGCGTACCAGGTGCTTTCACTGTAGGCTGTCCCGGGTCTGGATTCCAATAAGCTGGGGCGTACCAGGGGTACTTTGGCCACTATTGGGTGTGCCAGAATTGGAGTACAGCCTACTGACCAAAGTCCCTTGTACGCCGCAGCTTCCTGGAATCCAAGCCCGGTGCAGTAGCAGTGACCAAAGTGCCCCTTGTACGCTGCAGCTTCCCAGGACCCAGTTCCAGGTTTCAAAAGTCAACAACACACGGAGGAATGGCCTCTCTTGCGGCAACGGACACTGTGCAACGTAAACATTTTTCCATGAGGAGAGTATAGGAACATTTTTTGTGTTTGCACTTGGTTGCGATTGTCTGTTATCAGCTTCAGCTGTCTCAGTCTGTCTCAGTTTTGAAGAAGGTCTCAGTCTGTCCTGCTCAGGCTGTGTGATGGCATCGCTTGTTTGCCTCGGCCATTGGCGTGCAGCAGGCTGGACTGAGACAAGCTGTGCAGGTTTCTCGCTCGTATTGACCTGACACTTGGAATCATTGACAGTTTGATCGCAGCTTTTCCAAGCTCATTTTTTTTTGGCATGGCGCCTAAGAAGGCAAGTCCTGCTGCCAAGTCGGCAGCTTCCGCTGTTAGCCCCAAAGAGCCTGACTATGTCAATCCCAACGTTGAGTGGCACCAGAAGGTGACTGATGCTGTCGACACGATCTTGGGCCAGTTTGGCATGGATTTCGTGGACAAGCAGCCTCTCACTTTGGAGGAGGGCGCGCTTGTGGCGCCCTGGACTGGCAGGTGATGCATGACCGGCTGATGAACCCCCAGGGCAGCCACAATGAGGTGCTATGCGCTGGCGGCGTCAACGTGCTGCGCTGCAACCCTTTGCAGTCAATGACGCCTTCGGTCCGGATCAATGTGCAGAAGGTGGAAGCCATGATGATGAACCTGTGGGGGCATGGGAAAATCGTTCCCTTGCTTGAGCCGGTGGACTTCGTAGCCAAGCAGCTGGTGAACGGCAAGATGCCGGAGTTTGACAGAATCTCTCCTGAAGAGCCAGTTCAAGCATTGCTGGTGTGGGTGGCTAGGCGGATCCGCGACGACGCTGATTGGAGCTCTGGCGAAAGATTCTGCTGTCCACGCAGGCCAGATGTGTACGAGCTTCGTCGTGGGATGAACGATACTTCTGGAGTGTCAACAGCCGACGTCGAACAGCAGACATAGCCAAGACAGTGACGCACTTGGCGTCGCAGATCTGCCAGGACATTTGGTTGTTCAAGCGCCGCAAGGAGAGCTTGCTGAACAAAACTCTGACTAACGCCGAGGTGGCCGGCCTCTACCTGCAGTTCATGCCGGACACGGAGACGGACGAGGAGCCCAGAAGCGACGAAGGCAACATCCAGCGAGCCTGCCAAGTGTACGAGAGGGTGCTGAGCAACAAGGTGATCGCCAGTGTCATCGCGTGGTCTGACACAACCCATGGCAGCGAGGGCCCTTTCAACAGCATTGGCAAGCTAGTGGAAATTTCAGCCAAACTGAAGAAGATTCCCACGCTTGAGTACTTTTTCACATCAATGAAGCTCGCGCTCCAACAAGACCAGCTTGAGGTCGGAGAGCTGTCCACCAAAAAGTTGCGCGGCGGAGGAGGGCATGGTGGCAAGATTGGCCTCTTAGATGTTGTGATCACGAAGAAGGCGATGAGGGATTTCTTGCTCAGCCGCTGGCTGGACGTGCAGAACAACATCTCCCCGGAACACAAGGCCTTGTTGAAGAAGACCTTTGACACAGCAGAGAACTACGAGGCAAACTACATTGCCACCAGGCGTGTTTAATTGTCTGTAAGGTTTTGTTTTTTATTTTAGAAGCAGGAGAAGCCAACGTTTTGATGAGGAGTTGTTGGTGTGTGGCTTACGGCAGCCCAGGTCAAGGAAAGGACATGGATGTTGGGTTTGCCAACCGCCGTGAGCAAGTTGATCGAATTGCTGGAGTCTGTGGGTTACAAGTTTGACTCGTTGGAGATTCCTGCGGTCAAGACGGGCATCAAGGCTGGAAAGACAGGGCAGGAAATTTTGGAGGAGTATCAGCCTTACAAGCAGCTATTGGCTGATATTGTCGCAGCAGCTGTTGCGCTGCAAGACGGCGATGAGGATTCAACTGCTCAGTCCTCACAGGGAGCAGCAGCTGTCGCTTCATCGACAAAGACTGAGCAACTGCATCAGTGCACCACAATGCATGAAGAAGGCGCCTTGTCTTAGCAGTACCATTTTACCGCAACTTATGTCGCAACGGCTTGTTGACGTTTTGGCAACCTTTGGTAGTTTATCATTTCACCCCCCTACCCCCCCCCCCCCCGCGCCAGGCATTGCTCTGGGCTCGGTGTCAGATGGCTGGCTTGCCATGGCTGACCGCATCATTGCCAAGAACGTGGTGTTGGTTGTTGAGAAAGGGCTTACGCAGACCCAGCTTCAGAATGCCATGAGCAAATACGCAATCTCAAAGATCCGCGGCCAGAACGGAAACAACGTGGTTATCTACTTCGATTCCAACAACTTTGGAGAAGCAATCACAGCGCCGCACATCAGACGGCCGCCTCTGCAGAGCACAGTGGTAGCGAAGATGTGGAAGGCCCTCAAAGCAATCCGCGAGGACCCTGGCAGCCCAGGGCTATTGCCGCCTGGTGACATCTTGGTGCTGCTTGACGGCTGCCGGAAGACGGACGTGACAGTCGTGAACTTGTTCGGCATGGGCAAGGACCGTCGCACAGCCGACCGTGGGCGCAAAGAGCGCGACGGAAAGACTCTCTCTTGGCAGATCACTGTGGCGTTCGACGAGAAGTGCGTGGTTGGCCGCAAGTTCCGAAAGAAGCACAAGAATGATTTCTTGAGTTGCTCTCAGAGGGCGCTGCTTTTCTGGAATGGCAGCACTACCAGCGCCTCGGCTGTTGTGGCGACATTGCGTTTTGCTGCTTCGGCGCAGCGTCAGCCAAAGTAGGCGATTTGCAGAGGAGCTGTAAGAGCTCGTTTAGAGTTGGCTGCAAGAAGCAAATCAGACACGTGTTTCCAGCTGTTGTTTAGTAGCCCGACTGCCTAAGTCGGCACAGCGTCAGCCAAAGTAGGAGATTTGCAGAGGAGCTGCAAGAGCTTGTCTAGAGTTGGCTGCAAGAATCAAATCAGACATGCTTTTCCAGCTGTTGTCTGTTGGCTAGCCCGACTTAGGCATCCCAGCCAAGACGCACAAGTTCTTCCCCGAAGCCACGAACATGTCGGACGTGCTGGGGCCATTTTCCCTGGAAGCGTATCAGAACCTCCCCAAGCTTCGCATGAAGGACAAGAAGGAGTTCTGGGGATTGAGGCGCCGAGCAGTGGGCGGACGCACTGAAGGTGCCAATGAGGATAGCGATGATGATGACAACGAGCCGGATGAAGAGGAGGATCAGGAGGTGGTGCCTATGCTGGAGCTGCCCAAGGTCGGTGGAGGCCGAGGAAGCACGGGCATGCCTGACGACATTGTGCAGTGTGTCAATTTCCAGCAGCTACCCAGCTTCCTGCACTCCCTGAGTGCGATTTCTTGCTGCGATCTAGCGCCTGGCACTGGCGAGTTGGCGTGCAGCGCGGTGCTGGAGCAGGTCGGGTACTTGGGCATCTGCCAGACAGAGTATCAGCGCGAGTTCATCCTCACCCGGTTGAAGAAGGAGGTTTTGCGTTCCATGGAGGAGCCAAGTTCGAAGGTGTACTGCGCTGCCTACGCCAAAGAGGTTCAGGAGGAGAGAGGCGCGTTGGACTAAAATCGAGCGGCGTCATGTTAATTGTGGTTGTTACGGCCTTGATGAGTCTGAGTGTTCCTCTGCAGCGTTGCCAGGTGAGAAGCGCGAAGCTGGCCAGGATTTGCCAAATGCCCCGCCCAAGGCCAAGGCAAAGGTGGTGCCTCCTAAGAAGGACAAGGAGGAGAAGGCTGAGGGCACGGCGGCGGCGAAAGCCAAAGCCAAGTCCAAGAGTGAAGCGAAGGTCAAGGCTAAGCCTCCGCCGCTGCAGTTGTCTGAGAAGTTGCAAGCCCTGCTGAAAGTTGCAAAGGGGCAGGATCCTGCTGAGTAGGAATCAGGCTTGTCAGGACCTTTGAATGTGCAGGCGCAGCACTGTGGCTATGAGCCTTGAGTGTGCGCTGGTGGCTATGACTGCCGCTTCAGAATTTTGAATCGACTCGTTCTGATTCCCTTGCGGGGGTTAGCCTGGGTTGCCGATCAATAGGTCAGATTGCCGAACAGAGCTGAAACCAGGCAAATGCTGTAACCAGGCAGATCAAACTTCGGCAAGCTGACTTTGCTGAATTCTTCAGTGAGTGAGCATGCTGGCACGGCTCACCACTCGCTGACGCCGAGTTTAGCATGGGCTGGCGGATGGCTTGGGGCGTTGGAGTTGCTGACTCAGGTGATGTGAGCGCTGAGCAGCTCCTGCAGACACAGCGTGGCAGTTCTAAAGTTTTCTGAGCTGCGCAAGTCCAACGCTGGCAGGCAACGCGGGCAGTCCAATGCTTTCAATTCACTTCTGTGCAACACAGATACTCGCTATGCGACCTGGCCAAATATCTGGCCAGTTTGAAAGTCAACAAATAAGTTCTGGCCAGTCAGGGGGGGGCTGTTCTGAACGGAAGCCATGTTGCAAGGATGGGCCCCAGTTGAATTGAATATTCTCTTCAAACAGTTGACCCTCTGACTCAGAGTGCACCTCGTCGTGGAGCCCTGGCCGTGAGACGTGAGAAGCCGTGAAAAAATATCAGCGTCTCCAAATCTCTCCAATATGCAAAGAATGGTGTTGCGTGTCTTGCGTCGTTCCATGCCATTCTGCAAGGCAGCATCATCCCAGCCCTTTGGTGCTGTCAAGCGCCCAGCTCATTTCGACTGCAAGAGTCAAACAGTTTAGTTGGGCAGCATTGATTCTGTGCTCTGTCATCATTGATGTTCTCAGGCAACCTGGAGTTCAGCAGCTTGCTGAGCAAAACTGGTCTGAGCCTAAATTGCCGTTGACCACCCAACTGAATTCTGCACTGATTGACTAACTTTGACGGTGTGTTCGCCCGAGCATGGATGGAGAAGTGTTGATCGTTCACCTTTCGCGCGCCGAAGGCAATTTTGTTGATTCACCAGCGTAGTGCAGCGGCAGCCAAATCACTTTCATTGTGAGCCATGGAGATTGTGCCAACCCTTCCTGCCGGGGTCTTCACAAAGTACGTGGTGTTCAAGTACATGCACTGGGGCACGCGACGGCACTCGGAGTGGCTTTTGCTGCGGTGCACGCCAGCTGTTCATCCGTCGCACGCGGCGTCTCAGCTATTATTAAAGTATAACATACTTCAGGTAGTTGGCTTGGAGATGTCAAATGGGTTGTAGTGAGCCACCTTGATTCATTGCTAAGGTCGGGGGTTCTGGCCCACGGCGCAGTTGGCACCTGGACTTGGGACATGACTGGGCTCCACCTGCATCACTTTGCGTGCACAAGGGGGGCTACAATCAGGAACTTGTGCCTGACGCTGCGCAACCCGAATGCGCTTGTGTACAGTGACGGTATCCGAAGCCTGGCGCACTGGTCAAGTTTTCGGCACTTTGAACGCTTGTTAATGTTGACCTAGTTTTATGGCTTGTGTCATGTCTTGCTTCTTGATGGCGGTGCATTTTCGCAAGGGTCTGTGCTTTACTTTGGCCAGCTGGACCTCTACGGCCAGGCAAACGTGTACTTGAGTTTCCGCTCGGGGAACTTCAGCCAGAGATCGCGTGTGTTCATGATGGCCTGTTTTGTCAGCGACTTGGAGTGTATGGCGTCCTGGTTTCTATCAGCGATCAAACCTAATCGTCTTACCAGGTGGGCTCAGCCTACAACAAAACCCATTGGTTCCCGTGTCTTACACAATACAGAAAAATAGGCGAACAAATGTCTTCCATACAAATATGCGTTCCCCACCAATTGCTTGGCGTGCGCCGTCCCTCAGGTGAAGTCCTGCCGTTCTTCCAGGAAGGTGACCCCTTGGGGCCCGCGCGGGAGTACAGTGTGAGGGAGCAGGACGAGGATGTTGAGGACGACAATGGTGATCTCCGTGACTGGGTCCTGCTCAATTGTTAGATGCTATCCACTGAAGCTGATGCTGCTGGAATCGAGGCTTAGAAATTAGGCTTCGGACGCATGGCTGAATCGCGCCGAAGGCGCCTTTTTGGATCGTTTCATGATCCTCGGCTGGCTCGAGAGAAGGCCGGTCATTTCCCCATTAAAAAGCAGTCAAGCCAATTCAGTTTTGGAGCAAAGTAGGCTGCGTCACTTTCATTCAACGCAGCAATGATTTTTTTGGCGGGCCCACGCAGCCCTCTACGTGCGCCGCCGCTCCTAATTCGGCAGTTGACATTGTCTCAGTTGTCAGAATCCTCAGCAGCTCAAAGCCAAGCAAAGGAAACAAAGGGCGTTGATTGCCATCCAGGAGCCAAGGATGAAGTGTCAGCGTCAGCCATCACATGTGTCACAAGGAAGGCTGCCACCGTTCGCCCATTTGTCAAGTGAGCGCATGGTTTCAGCCCGCTGGTTCCTGCTGAGGCCTAAGGCTCGGACGACAAGTTCCGTCGTTCCGTGCCCGCCTGAGCGCAGGGTTGCGCAAGTGATCAGCATTGAGTGATCAGCATTGAGTTGTTTCATGCGCGCTGTGAGTCTTCATTTTTCGGCTCTCGCTCTCGCTCACAGGGTCTTCAACAGGCTATCCTTGATTTTGCCAAACTCTTCGTCGGTTAGCTTGCCATCCGCCTGCCACTGCATCACATCCTTCAAAGTGCAGTCCTGCAACGCACTGTAGGGCGTCGCTTTCTTCACGGCTTGGCACTCGTCTGTGGCCCGGCTTGGTAGTAGCGCCTGCTTGCCCCTGCACCTTTTCTTGACTGTCTTTGTTGACGGTGATGATGGCGGGGTTTGCACCATGGTTGCCAGCAGCCCAATCTGCCGGCTTCTTTCTTGCGTGAGGTAACTGTGGACATGGTTGTGGGTGAGACGTCCATAGCCCAAATGCGTTTTGATGCTAGACTTCGCGTGTCTTGCGTATTCCATGCTCATGGCCAGCGAGACGCCTTCTCCCATCATCATAGTTATCTTTGTGGCGCGGCCGGAGTGTGTCCTTAGCTGCTCCCACTTTGACGCCGCGGACGGATGCGCAGTGCAAAACTTCTTAGCAAGCTTTCTGACTGCTGACCACACGCCATGGTAAGAAAGATGATCTTGCTTCACCTTTTTGTTGTTGTACATCTCTCTGCCTGCAAACAGCCTTCCTTTCGCTGGCAATTCGTATTTCTCAGTAATCATCCGCTTGCCGTTTTGGTTGAGAGCCACCATTCGTGAGGACGTCACTCCCTGCGAAATCCACGTCTGCAAAAGTTGAACTTGCTCTGGCATGATTGGGATGTGACCTGCGGACTTCCCGCGCCCCTTCTCCTTCGGGACACAAAGCCTAGGCGGAGACATGTACAGCTTCAAATCCTCGCGGTTGAGCATTGCAGCTTCTCCAGCACGCAAGGCAAACATCCCTGTCAGCATGATGAGCACATACATCCGTGGTCCATGCTCATTGAGCACAAACTGGGCCCAGGATTGCCAATCCTGCGCAGACAGCGCAACTGCTTGCCCAAGACTTTTCTTCTTCAGTTTCCTTGGAGCGCACCAGCATGCCGGGGCCAGCGTCAGCAAGAATAGTGCCGCCAGTAGTACTCGAGGCATGTCATGAGCTGGCAAAACGCCCAAGTAATGTTTTGATAGCTGACGCGCGGCAGTTGCTGAAGGTAAAACCCGCCCAAGTAATCTTTCAGTCCGAAAGGTTACTTGGGCGGCTGGTGGGTTTTAACACGTGTTTAGAACGTGGTTAGAAGCAGAACACGTGATGCATGCCCAACCCAACTCACTCACTCACACACACACACACACAGACACACGCGCGCAGTTGGAACTGCTGAGGCTTGCAGATCGCTTCGCCTTGAGGCCGGGGCCGGCCAGTGTGACTGAAGACCCAGACCATCCAAACTGAAGACCACCCAGACCTGAACCCTGAACTGCGGCAAGAGTTGCAAACAAGAGTTCCAAACAGGTAGAACTGCAAGAGTTCGAAACACATAGAACTGCAAGAGTTCGAAACACATAGAACTGCAAGAGTTCAAAACAAGCAGCGAGCAAGAGTTCGAAACGGGTACAACTGAAAGAGTTCAAAACATGTTTACATCATCTTTGCAGCCATGCTCTTGCAGCACTCCATGAGTTTCATGCAACGCGTTGATAGCTCTTGCAGCCATGTGAGAGAGAGTGGGAGAGAGAAGACTCTTACAGTCTGCCATGAGTTGCGTGACTCGGCGACTCTTGCAGCCGCAGGTGACTCTTGCAGCCACCAACTGTGAACGACTCTTGCAGTCGCTCGGTGGCTCTTGCAGCCACCGATGAACTCTTCCAGTTCATATGGGTGGCTCTTGCAGCCACAATTGTTTGTTGCAGTCATATGGAATGACTCTTGCAGTCACAGGGCCTGACGGGTGTAGAAAAATAAGACTCTTGCAGTCTTTCACGAACTCTTGCAGTTCATGTTTGCGACTCTTGCAGCCACTTGTGAAACATGGTGACTACCAATGAACTTGCGATGAAACCTGGACACCTGTCTGGCTTGAAGCCCTCCTTGCTCAAGTTCGACGCCATAGATCGTCAAGCCTGAACATCGCATTTACAGGTTCATCAATGATGAAGAGGCCAGCACGCAAGGAGGCCTTCAAGAAGCCAGCGGCGTTGTCAAGCCAAGAGGTTTGCAAGAAACCAGCCAGCCAGATTTTCAAGAAGCCGGCAAACAATGACGATGACAAGGAGGCCCCGGCAAGCACTCAGAGAGATGACCAGCCTGGCCTTGATGAGGTGCTTGCGTCTTCTCGCATAGTCGGCGGCAAGGATGTCATGGCCATGCGCAACTCAAAGAATTATCATCATCCCCATTGTGTGTGGTTGAGGCAGCTGAGCCCTACACCAGCCTTGAATGCAATCAGCCCTTGCCAAGATTGCTGCATTTTGGCTTCGCCACGCAGGGTCCGTGCATGTGCCGG